GTGGTATTCTGTTATGACAGCCCTAGGAAATGAATACAGATGTGCAGATAGTTAAGCAAAAGGCCCGTCTGCAAAACCCTCTTTGACCAGGCTGCACAGATAACAGAGCTGCCAATCCATCCCCACGCCCCAGCCTCTGCTGATGGCAGAGTCATGCTCCCACACTCTCTCCAGCCCAGTCAAAATTCAACAATCGATCAACGCCAGGATGCACCTTAACGGTATCTCGAATTGCATACCTCAAACTTCAACAAAGTATAAGAAAGAGAACACTAAAACTGAGGCCGAGGCCAATTTTCACTATCAAGTTAGCTGGGCTTATCTGACAATATCAGGCTTCTGCTATAGACTCTCAGGTGGATGCCACTGCAATTTCTCCTTTTTGTTTTCTGCAAGATATTGCCATTTCTCTCTCTCTCTCCTTTTCTCTGTAAGGTATGCTTTTGTCAAGTACAATCAGAATGTTAAAGATGGAGAAAATCTATGAAGGAGAGAAAAACATGCAAACACCCCTGGGGGGGCGGGAATAATCGCCTCCTACAACACCTGTCACTTCCAGACAGTTGTCCTATGTGGCCCCTCATAGCAACTCCAGCCAACCAATACTGACACCAGCACAAGTTGGGTGCGTGTGAAAGTACGTGCACATACTACTCATTTAAGTTTTCAGCAAAGGCATCTTCTTTGCCATCACAGAGAAAACTAAAAGAAACTGAACAGAATTGGGGACACAGGTAAATTAAGGAGGGAGCTCAGAAGAAAGCAGTAGCCAGACTGCTTGCTAATCTCCCTGCCCTGGAGCCTGTCTGGGCAGGATTATCAGCCACGCTCTCGCAGATAGGAGAGCGGCAGACAGTCAGACACCCACCACCTTCCCTTCCCCCTGCAGTCCTTGGGCAGCCTCCTCAAGATGTCAAATCCAAGAGAGGGAAGGGAGGGGGTGGGGAGCTCACATCTCCCAGAGAGAAGACTGCCAAGATGGAAAGCAAGCTGAAAAAAGCAAGTGCAACAACACAGACAGCATGTTACCATTTGTTTCTCAGAAAACACAAAACAGAATTGTATTTCCAGATGCACATATATACATATGTAAAAGCATGGAGCAACCTAACTACTCAAGGATGGGGAAACTGTTGGGCAAACTACACTAAGATGGGAGGATGCTACATAGGTATTAAAATGATGCAGATAAAAATCATTTCGATTCTAAAAATAACACACAAGAGAATGCACAGACTGATTCCAGCTGTGTAAAAATGTAAAAATGTATGCCTGCACATAAATAAGAGAAAGGAGATCTAAATGGAGTCAGGCTTCACATTGCTATAGAGTTGATTTAAAGCATACTTGAACAATACAAGAGAATGTGGATGTTCATATTTCAATATTTAAAAGAGACAACATAATCCGTTATCTTAAAGAAAACAAAAAAAGAGAAAAAATCTGGAAGGATACCCACTAAACTAAAGAGGACATGAGGCCTTGGAGACATACACCTCCTTCTCCCCCACCCTACCCCTCTACCCACCAGCAGAAAATGTCTGCTTTAAACTATAGATGAAGGCTTCCCACCTACTGCCACTCTTAACTTCAGATAGAAGCAAAACTGCAAAGATCATAAGAATGTCAATATCTCCCAACAGCTGTTCAACGTCCATTCCATTTCTCCCTAGGGCCATCTAAGGGTAACGCTGAGCTTGGGCTGGCCCAACCGAGTTCCCCATCATCCATCCTTTTGCCAGACCTCTTCCCAGGCCAGCAGATTGCACCTTCCTTGCCTGCCCCTGCCTCCTTCCCCCTTTCATTAAGACACCATTTGGCAAGGTCTCTGTAAATCCCTGTCAGTGTATTTCCTGTTAATAGTTACTGCATGAGCCTTCTCTCCTTTACTCCCAGATAAATAAATGAAAATAAATACCCAGTTCAGAGAGCAATTTGATGCATCTGAAGTTAACAAAGCCACAGTGGCTTCAACCTGACAGGCTGTTATGAATAAAATCCTTTTCATGAGCAATATTTTGCTTCGGCTCCAAAAGGGGGACAAATAAATCTGAAAGGCTGAGCGAATGGAAGTGGAGTTAGAGAACAGAGTCAGTTAACCATTTCCTTCCCACCAACCCAAGAGTCTTGCTGCCCTTCATGTTCTGAATACATAAATATAACCAGGGCGGTGACTCTGATGTTGGCAGGCAGTGGTACCTGTGCTTGAATGGTCATGGGAAGGGCTCGAGTCAGGGCACTGCTGCAGAACCCCTCCAACCACATTTCTGCCCTCACCAGACTCCTGCACGGGCTCCTTTCTCCAGATGAGATGACAGGGACACTGACTCACTTCCTCTCACTGGTTGAACTCCATGCACTGTCCCATAGGATAGAAAGGAGGTCCTGGAGTTCTCTGCAGGCAGGCACCCCTTTTATCCCAGGGCCTGTTCGCAGGATGAGAGCCCCTCCATTGTTGCTGCAGCCAAAGCCTTTTGCTCTAATGACTTCATTCTGTTCCTGGGCCATCTGCTGAACAGTGGGGCTTTGTCACAAGGTGAATGAACTGGAAACTGAAAAGGTCTCAAGCTGAATTTTCCTATAGAACTCCCCACAGCCTCAAAAGCCACAGGCTCATAAACTCCAAGAGCAGTGAGCATTCTGAAACCAAATTCTAGACCCCCCCCTCCCCTCAAGAATACATTCCCTGTGAGTGCTCAATCAATGCTGGACAGCCACACAGACTCAGGATCAAAACCCATTAACTCAGACTCCAGGAAGCACCTTCCATAGATCCCAGCTGCTGCCCTTTCTGGGTGTGGGAAGCAAATTAAGAGTGAAACCAAGGGAAACCTTCAGCCTGGCTCAGAGTGATGGTGGACAGACTGTTTCCAGGCACCACTCTTACGGCAACATTTGTATTCAGTGACGGCAGCAATTATAAATAATTCTTATCTATTTATAAGAGCTTCCAAGACAAATTCCCCTTCTCACAGTGACAGTAAGAATTAATTTCTTTTAAAATGTCCTAGAACAGTTGTTTACTGCCAGGCTGATCTTTCCGCCAACTAGCAAGGTTCTAGGTGTTAATGGTTATCAGGCCCATTTCCGAACCCTTTCATTCTCTCCCTAGATGTTTACCTGACACTACCAAACCATTCCTAATTTTCTGTGTAGTCTATCCAAGACTTTCCCCTGAGATCTTCTCCACATTCAAAGCATATACTAGAACAAACATGAAGCAAAAGGTTTAAAAAAACAGTATTTGCTACACAGTACAAATTGGCCAAGGACTATTTACACTGCCCAGAGAAAGCCCTTACCTTCGGACAGCTGATCAAATACTCCTGACTGCCCCTCCCTGCCCCAGCACCAAGGAGTGGTGACCCATCATGATTGCAAAGAGCCCTCTGCAAGATACTGTCTCAGAAGCCCAGTGGGACCAGGTGGGAAGGGCAGAACGAGACCCAGCAGGGGCTGTGCAGAGCCAGCCCCCTGTCTGCTGTTCACAAGTTAAGGCCACTGGCTGCAAGATCTTCCGGCCAGGGCGAGTAGAATACATCCCAACAGCAACTTCACACCTGACCAGGGTGGATTTGAGAGCAGAATACGGCAGCCCACATTGAGGACCTCTCGAAGCTATTACCAGCAGATGTATTCCACAGCAAGGAAGCTCGGGCCCAGCAGGCAGAAACTGACACCGCCATTCAAGCTCTTGATAAAAAATAAAAAACGACACATGGTCTTTCCTCCTAGACAACGTCATGGCTCTCCATCCAACCATCACATCCAGCTGTCTGGTCCAGAGGCTGGTCCTTCTGTGACATGACTAAGCCAAGTTCCTAGGAATTCTTCCTTCTCTTTCTCCAGTAGGGAATTTAAGGCAAGAAAGAAGGCAGGCAGGCAGGGAAGAGAACATCGGCCTACCTCCTGGGGTACATGTCCAGTTGACTCCAGCGAACCTGACCAGTCCTTGCGTGCCATGATCCAACAGAAGAAATGTCCTTTGACCCCGTTCTCCCCCATATGATCCCTCCTGTGCCTCCTCCCTTTCTGGTGAGCAAAGAATTCAAGCAGCAGCTCAGGGCTTACAGGGGGCTTCTGCCCACCTCGAGGACTTGTCAGGACACAGCATCTGGTAAGGCTGCATGGCTTGCACTGCCTTCTTATTGACACTGACCTCCGTCTACTGACAGTAGCACAAGCGAACAACCCCTTTCTAGCCCATGCAGCTCGGTTATGAACTCAGGACCTGACCTTGACTCTGTTCAGTGACCAGAGCGAGACTTCAGGCTGTAGTTCGTATCATGCTTCTCTGAAAGCAGGCACCTGCATCGTTCCCAAACCCAACCCACCAGCCCTATTTAAGTATGAAAGCCTAAAATCTCTGGCTTGCCCCCAATTCTGGTGCCTTTTTATTTTGACTTTGCAGCCCCTCAGGGGAGTTAGCCTCAAGTTATAGGAAGAAACTAGAGAGAAGGGACACACAACCAGTAACTGGCAGACGTGAGCTCAAACCCAGGACCAGGCTGCCCAGTCCTCCCACCTCATCCTCCTATTAATAAGCCCTTGTGGTGTGATGCTTTGTCAATGGTCTCACGCTGTAGTTGGGTGTGTTGTCATCTCCCTGGTGACGTCACAAGCTCTTTAAGGGTCAAGACCATGACCACGGTCACTCACTTCTCCCAGTTTCCAAGTCTGCTCGTATACTCAGTGTCACACAGCACAGCATCAGCTGCTCTCTCTATTTATAATAAAACCTGACATTTAAAATCTGAACTTACCAAAATGTAACTAAGGGGATGCTTAGTCATATTGCCAAGAGCTTATTTTCTTTTAGGAAAAAAGTCGCAATTCAATTCCTCTAGGTAAAAGCCCTACATGGCTTGAAATATCTATTTCAATATCACTGGCTACTTAACAGAGACATTAACGGGTATATCGAGTTTGAACAGAAGTAAATCTATGGCACAGAGCTGGACATATCCTGACACGAGAGCCCAAAGTAGAGTGGTACTCACCAGGTGAGGCATCAGGAGGTCAGCCAAGTAGACAAATGCGGCTCCAAGAGTGAAGCCAACAGCCACAGGGAAGAAGGCAAAGGCACCAAAGCCCCCAGAGGACGTGGCCATCTCAACCGCGGGGGCCAGGAGAGACCAGTAGGAAGCTGCTAACATGACCTGCAAAACCACAATGAGCAACAAGCCATTAAATCATCCACAGAAGGCCTTGCAAGTGGGGACTTCAGTTGCTCTCTATGGCTCAAACTGAACCCCACAACTTCACATGTATGAGGCCTTTAATCCTCACTGGTAGGTTCTATCCCAAACCAAAAAGCCACCATCAGAATCCCTGGGACTAATGTTGTAAGAACTCAATTTGGCGTAGAATGGAGTGGACCTTGGGAGGATGGAGTCTAGTTTGCTGTCACCTAGCCTCTAATTCAGTGATTCTTAACCTGTGGCAATTTTGCCCTCTAGGGGACATTTGGCAACATCTGGAGACATTTTTAGCTGTCATACTAGGGGCAGGAGGACAGGAGGAGGGTTGCTACTAGCATCTAGTGAGTAGCGGCCAGAGATGCTGGTAAACATCCTACAATGCACAGCTCCTCACAAAAAAGAATTATCTGGCCCCAAATGTCAAGAATACTGTTGAGAAATTCTGTCCTAGGGCTGCCCCGTGGCTTAGCAGTTAAGTGCACACGCTCCGCTACTGGCGGCCTGGGTTCAGATCCCGGGCGCGCACCGACGCACTGCTTCTCCAGCCATGCTGAGGCTGCGTCCCACATACAGCAACTAGAAGGATGTGCAACTATGACCTACAACTATCTACTGGGGCTTTGGGGGAAAAAAGGAGGAGGACTGGGAGTGGATGTTAGCTCAGAGCCAGTGTTCCTCAGCAAAAAGAGGAGGATTAGCATGGATGTTAGCTCAGGGCTGATCTTCCTCACAAAAAAAAAAAAAGAAAGAAGAAATTCTGTCCTAATTGAATACTTCCAGGACAAGTTGCTCACTACTTGAGAAGCTCCACTGTATTATAAGATAGCTCTAATTATCACAAAGTTCTTCCTCATGTTGAGCTGAAATTTGTCTCCTTCCCATTTTACCTATCAGCTCTAGGTCTGCTCTCTGGAGCACTAAAGAATGTGTCTTTCCTCTGTGATACCTGACAGCCTTTGAAATATTTGAAGACAACCATGAGTCTTGTCAATTTTCTTATCTCTAAAAACAAAGAAGGGAACTAATATTTTAATCAATCACCTACTGTTTCCAGGGACCAACCTTCACATTTGATATCTTATTTTATCATCACAACAACCCTGGGAGGCAGGTGTTGTTTTCCATTGCTATTTGTAGATAAAGAAATTGAATCTCAAAGTAATAAGAAAATTTGCTCAAGGTCACAAAGCCAAAAAGTGGCAGTTGCAGGGAACTGAGCAAGTAGGACCATAATCATCTCAATGAGGGGAAAAACACGAGTGAAAAGAGAAAAACGAATCTGGACTCAAATCTCAGGGAGGTCAATTCGATAAAAGGTTCTCCAGTGTTGACTGAATTAAACACTCATCCACGGTCATTTACTCTCATAGATGCCATGACATTTTCTTGCTAGAGTACACCCACTCCCCATCGTAACCATAGGACAGTCATCACTGACATGTCAAATGCTGAATGGGTTTCCAAAAATGACTTAATTATGCTTTGCCTTAAACAAAACATCTGCATCATCCATCTCCAAAATAACATTCAGAGTGACAGCACCAGGTATTACAAAAGCAACAATAAAGAACAAATCCATGCAGAAAGTGATTTCCCTTCTGCCAACCATCATTCACACATCGTCACTCGCGCTGGGCTCAATTCTCCCAGCAGAAGTCCTAGTGCCGCCCATAGAAAACTGCATCTGCCTCACAAACTCCCAGAAAGAAGGAAAATGTCTTATCAGTTCAGCTCCAGGAGACCATCAAAGGAAGCCTGTGGGCTCCATCTCTACGCCATGGCCTAATCTATCTCTTTCCCAGGCTGTTGTCTCACTAGCTTTAGAATTCAACAGCCCTTGGTAGCTGCCATTCATGGTCAACTCCCCACCAGAGAGGACCTGCACAGAGTCACAGACTTGTCCAGCAACCTCTCTCCTTGCATGTTTCAGGGCCTCCCATATAGTCCCACCGTCAACGACTCTAAAACCACATGATCCAGGTAAGGCCACTCATCTCATCCTCCAATCCCTCCCCACATCCCATCTTTTTCAGTGTCACTTGGGGTACCTCCCCAGCCTCGGCTCCCCAACTGCTTCTCAATACAAAGTCCAACCTCTTCTGTCAAAGCTCCTTCTCATCCCTCTGCACCCCTGGGTGCCAACTTTTTTCTGCCCCTACATGTGGAAATACACAGTGTTCTCATGGACAAGTGATGCAAGGTGGGACAGAAGAGATGTGCCTCTCAGGGGAGGGTTTGCCAGAATCTGGGATGCATCCCAGAATCTGGTAAAGCATCCCAGACAATTCAGGTGGGCACCCTCCTTGAGGATCACTGTTCTTTATCCTTCCAGTCAAATCCAGGACCCAACTGGATTTCCTTCATTTCTTCTCCTCATCAGCCTCTCTGCCTCCTACATAAACCAGATAACGATCAAAGAACAAACCTGAAACGGTATTGGGCTGACTGTCTGAAATGACAGTAAGGGCCCAAAGAAAAGTTATTTAGAGGACACATGTGGTAGATAAAATAACGACCTCTTCCTCAAAGATGACCACATTCTAATCCCCAAAACCTGTGAATATGTCACCTCACATGGCAAAACGGACTCTGCAGCTATGATTAAGTTAAAGATCTTGAGATAGGGAGATTATCCTGGATGATCTGGGTGAGGCCAATGTCATCATAAGGGTCTTTTTTGTAAGAGGGAGAAGGGTCAGTTAGAGATAAGATGTGATGACAAAACCAAAAGTCATAGTCAGAGAGAGACTAGGAGATGCTATGCTGCTGGCTGGAAGATGGGAAAAGCTCATGAGCCAAGGAATGCAGGCGGCCTCTAGAAGCTGGAAAAGGCAAGGAAACAGATTCTCCTCTAGAGCCTCCAGAAGGAGCCCAGCCCTGCTGACACCTTGATTTTATCCCAGTTAAAACCACTTTGGACTTCTGACCTCCAGTACCAAGATAATATATTTGTGTTGTTTTAAGCCACTAAATTTGTGGTAGTTTGTTACAGCAGCAACAGGAAACTAATACAGCACATAAAGGCACACGTTACTTTTTTTTTTTTTTTT